TGGAGAGGAGGCAGACCTGCAAGGCCTCTGATCTCCCCAGCGCCTGGCCAAAGGGATGCCTTGTTCCAGCCACAGCATCCCTGGTATGGGTCTGTGCTGAGGGCTCTGGGGTGGTCCCCTGGGCTCTGGTCCCCACGCTCTGCCTGCAGGGACCAGCAGGGCTCCCAGCCCCAGTGTGTGAAGCCCATGGGCAGGGGCTGGGAGTGGCTTTGCCATGCTGAGGCTCTGACCCTCTGTGCCCAGGAGCTGCCCCTGCGGGATGGGGACGATGGTTTCCACACGCACCAGCTGCACTTGGTGGACCTGCGGGCATCCTGGACCACCACCAACCGGGACATCGCCTTCGGCCTCTACGACGGCTACAAGAAAGCAGCTGTGCTCAAGCGCAACCTCTCCACTGAGGCCCTGAAGGGGCTGAAGATCGACACGCAGCTACAAGCCAAGAAGCTGAAGCGGGGCCCGCTCTCTGCTCACTCCGTCCCTGCCAGAGTGACCGCTCCCATCACCAGCGGCCGTCCTGAGAGAGCCTCCTCAGGGGGTGAGCACGGCAGGGAGGGGAGCAAGGGGAAACCCACAGCCAGCAATGTGCATGCTAGCCCAAAGCCATGCCTGCCTTCACCCTGTCACCCTCAGCCAGCCCCCCGTAGCCTTGCACTGACCCTTTCTCCTCCCCCAGGGGCCTACATGCTGCAGAAGCTCATTGAGGAGACGGACAAGTTCGTGGTCTTCACGGAGGAGGAGTCGGGGGCTAGCGAGCAGCTGTGCGGCATTGCCGCCTGCCAAACTGATGACATCTACAACCGCAACTGCCTCATCGAACTGGTCAACTGCCAGGTACCTGTCCTTGGCCAGCCTGCCTGTCCCCACGCTCTCCTCTCCCCATGGCCTTGGTGTTAGAGAGTCTGTCCCTGCCCCAGAAGGGGTCATCTGACCCCCAGGGTCTCTCCCCCTGCAGATGGTGCTGCGAGGTGCGGAGACAGAGGGCTGCGTGATCGTGTCCGCTGCAAAGGCCCAGCTGCTGCAGTGCCAGCACCACCCCGCCTGGTACGGGGACACGCTGAAGCAGAAGACGTCCTGGACCTGCTTGCTGGACGGCATGCAGTACTTTGCCACAACGGAGAGCAGCCCCACCGAGAGGGAGCATGGGCAGCTCTGGCTGGAGGTGAGTGGCTGGGGGGGCTGTGATGCATGAGCTGCAGGGGCAAGCAGTGCTGTCAGTGCCCTGGCCAAGGCAGGGAGAGCAGGGACAGCCAGTGGTGCCTTCTTGCCTCCCCAGGTGAAAAATATTGAGGAGCATCGGCAGCGGAGCCTGGATTCGGTGCAGGAGCTGATGGAGAGCGGGCAGGCAGTGGGGGGCATGGTCAGCACCACCACAGGTACTGCCCACAGAGCTGGCTGCTGTGCCTACCCCAATCCCACTTGTGTGTGACCCCAAGGCTGGTGAAGCTGAGAGCGCCTGGCCTGTCGCCGGATGGCTCCAGGACCTGGCTGATGCTCTGAGCCCTGTGCCGTAGGGTCCCCAATGTGCCGGGCCATGGCCCTCTGACCGTGGTCCCCCTCCCTGTCCCCAGACTGGAACCAGCCCTCAGAAGCCCAGCAGACCCAGCAGGTGCAGAGGATCATCTCTCGCTGCAGCTGCCGCATGTACTATATCAGCTACAGCCATGACATTGACCCCGAGTTGGCCACGCAGATAAAGCCCCCCGAGACTCCCGCCAACCAGGAGAAGGAGGATCTGCTGAAGAAGCAGGAGGGTGGGTGCATCCAGGCAGTGTGTCTCAGGGGGGTAGAGCTCTGGGTTGACCCACAGGTGCCGGCTAAGCTCAAGGATGGTCTGTCTTGGCCCTGCTGAGATCAGAGGGGTGCATACAGCAGGGGTCCCCAGCCACATGGCAGTGTACCAGATGATGCTGGACATGCTGTGCCTGCTGGAGCCAGTGTAACCACCTTGGCTCATTCCCCATCCCTCTCCATCTCCGGCTGGCCCCCACACGCTTCCCATTTCTGGCCATGTTGAGGCCCAACTTGCCCTTTGTCCCTGCAGGAGCTGTGGATACGTTCACGCTGATCCACCACGACCTGGAGATCTCCACCAACCCTGCGCAGTATGCCATGATCCTTGACATAGTCAACAACTTGCTGCTGCACGTGGAGCCCAAGCGCAAGGTACTCGCAAGGCTTCAGGTCACCGTGTCGCTCGCTGTGCCCAGGGCAATCCTAACCTTCCCCTATCCCCATGTCCAGGAGCACAGTGAGAAGAAACAGCGGGTGCGCTTCCAGCTGGAAATCTCCAGCAATCCTGAGGAGCAGCGCAGCAGTATCCTACACCTGCAAGAGGCCGTGAGGCAGCACGTCGCCCAGATCCGGCAGCTGGAGAAGCAGATGTACTCCAATGTGAAGGTGAGGCCGCTTCCAGGGAGGGCCTGGCTCCCTGGGGTCCCTGCTCTGGAGCAGAGGGTGCTGAGGATTGTCTGTCCTTCAGTCCCTGCAGGATGACAGCAAAAATGAGAGCCTTCTCGACCTCAACCACAGGCTGCAGCAGCAGCTGAGCCAGGAGAAAGCTGACCTGCAGCTAGAGAGTGAGGAGCTGAACATACTGATCAGGTAGGGACCATCTCTGGCTTCCCCAGCGTTGCGTCCCCCTTACTCCAGGGCTCCCACATCCCAGCGCTCCCCTCTCTGCTGCAGGTGCTTCAAGGACTTCCAGCTGCAGCGAGCCAACAAGATGGAGCTGCGAAAGCAGCCGGAGGATGTGAGCGTGGCACGGCGGACTGAGTTCTACTTCGCCCAGGCACGTTGGCGCTTGACTGAGGAGGACGGGCAGCTGGGCATAGCCGAGCTGGAGCTCCAGCGCTTCCTCTACAGCAAGGTACCGAGCCAGCCGGTGGCACCCACAGCCCCCAAGCCAGGGCCCGAATCCTGCGGGGCTGATGGGTCTGTGTGCGCAGGTCAACAAGTCTGATGACACAGCTGAGCATCTGCTGGAACTGGGCTGGGTCACGATGAACAACCTCCTGCCCAACGCTGTGTACAAGGCAAGCGGCAGCCTCCAGGAGCAGCCCTGCACCCTGGGGACCCATGGGTGGCCTATCCTCACCCCAGCCACCCATCCTCTTCCCTGCAGGTGGTGCTGCGTCCCCAGAGCTCCTGCCAGTCTGGACGGCAGCTGGCACTGAGGATTTTCAGCAAGGTCCGGCCCCCCGTGGGAGGCATCTCCATCAAGGAGCACTTCGAGGTGCCGGCGCCAGGCTGGGAGGTGGCAGGGTCCCCGTGGGGCACAGGCAGCCTGTGCCTGGCTTTGACGTGCCTCTCTCCCCGCAGGTGAACGTGGTGCCCCTCACGATCCAGCTCACCCACCAGTTCTTCCACAGGATGATGGGTTTTTTCTTCCCCGGCCGCAATGTGGAGGAGGAGGAGGTGGGGGATGAGGAAGATAAGTCCAAGCTGGTGACGACAGGTGAGAGGCTCATGGTAGCCCTTCTCCCTGGCACCTGAGCCATGTCCTTGAGTGGCTCTGGCTGCACGTCCAGGATATGTTTGTGGGCAGCTGCTGGTGGACCACACGTCGAGGAACAGGGACTTGTGGTCTCCCTTTGTGGGCAGAGAGCCAGTGGGGAGAGCAGCAAAGCTGGGAGGAGTCTGGGTCATGGCTGACCCCCAGCCAGCCACCACCTCCCACCCTGTTTGTCCCAGGGATCCCCGTGGTGAAGCCGCGGCAGCTGATCGTGGCTGATGACTCGCTGGGCCCAGGGAAGGGGGTCGCTCAGGGACTGAATCGGACGTCAGGAGTCAGAAGATCATTCCGAAAAGCACCAGAGGTACCTGACGCTGCCTTGAGGGGGGAATCGGGAAGAGTCCTGCCGTGCAGCCAGTCTGTTTTCCCTCGGCCGCAGGGCTGGGCAGCCATGTCCTACCCCGCTTGCCTGCCCGTTTTCTCCGGCTCCCTCCCACCGTGAGGATTTGCATCCTTTACAACCAAGCACCTGCACACTTGATGTGATCCCTGCAGCATCTCGTTTTCCTAACACCATGCCAGAGCAGCTCTCGCCTCTCCCCGGTGAAGCAATGCCATGGCCTAGTGCCCAGCTGTCTCTTCCCCGCTGGTTCCTGGCTGTGTCCCCTCTCCTTCCCTTCTGCTCATGGCTCCTGCTCTGTCCCCAGCATCCCGTGGATGACATCGACAAGATGAAGGAGCGCGCGGCCATGAACAATTCCTTCATCTACATCAAGATCCCGCAGGTGCCACTCTGCGTCAGCTACAAGGTGCGGGGCGGGTGGGATGGGGCGTGCTGGGGAGGGGGCACAGCCCCTCTGGCTGGGGGTGGCCTGGGGCATCGTCCCACCTTGCCTGACACCCCTGTCACCCAGGGCGAGAAGAACAGCGTGGACTGGGGCGACCTGAACCTGGTGCTGCCGTGCCTGGAGTACCACAACAACACGTGGACGTGGCTGGACTTCGCCATGGCGGTGAAGAGGGACAGCCGCAAAGCCTTGGTGGCACAGGTATGTGGGATCCCATCCTGCGGTGCCTCCTTTCCTCTCACAGGGAGGCTGCCGGAGCCGTTCTGCCTAGGACACGGGTGGAAACCCCACGGTGGGCAGCACGTTCTCCAGAGTGGGAAGCAGCCGCGCTGGCTCAGCAGCTCAGGCTCTCACCCGTGCCGAGGAGCCCGGGTGTGGCCCTGGGGTGCTGAACCCCCTAAATCCTGGGGCAGGTGATCAAAGAGAAGCTACGCCTGAAGCCAGTGGCAGGCGCGGAAACGCGGGGGAAGCTGGAGAACAAATCAGATGGGACCATCCAGCAGCAGGAGGAGGACGAGAAGGCGCGTCTGCTCATCGGGCTGAGCGTGGGCGAGAAGAACCCCAGCAAGAAGTCAATCTTCGGCAGGCGCAAATGACGGCAGCACCCGGCAGGCCGGGAAGGGACTGGGGTGTCCCGCGCTCCCCCCTCTGGAGGGGCACCCCTATGGCAGGGGGGGCCCACGCTGCTGGGAGCGGCGATGCCCAAGGCGGGGGTTAGCCACGCGCAGGCCCTCGGCAGCCCTGTCGCTGCAGGGCAGGGGCGCAGCAGCACGGGGATGTGGGGCGCAGCGTGCTCCGGGGCCGCTTTGTGGGGCGCAGACCCCCGTGCCAAGGGTTCCCGCGAGCTTCCCCCCTCCCTGCTGTGCGGGTGCTGGGCCCAGCCCCTGGGCCTGGTGAAGCAGCAGGATCGCTCCAGGCTGGGAGAAAGGGGAACTGGAGAGAGTTTAAATAAAGAGTTTTTAATTTGGAAGAGTCTTGGGCCAGCGGCTCGTTACTCGCCTCCCCGTTCATGCCGCAGTGCCAGGCTCGGCGCCGTCACCGCCCTCTAAGCTCGGCAGCCCCCCACCTGCTATGGCTTCACCCCCTGCCCTTCCCGGGGGGTTGCTCGGGGCACCTGCTTTTGGGGGCTTGGGGGTCCCTTGCAGCACCTACATCGCCCCGGGCTTGTCCCTCTCCCATCTCCTCTGTGAGCCCCGTCGGTGCCTGGGGCTCGGTGGGGGCTGCAGGTACCCCACCGGCTGCCCCGGGGCAAAAAGTGGGGTGCAAGGGGAGAATGAGTGGTCAAAGGGGGAACCCCAAAGTGTGCAAAGGGGGGTCCCGGAGGGTGTGTCCTGCCCGGGGGCGGGGGGGGGGGAATCAGTCACGGGTGGGGTGCGCACCCGGGTGCAAGGGGGAGTCCCCGGTGCGGAAGCTCGTCCCGGGGTGCGCTCCCGGTGCAAGGGGGCAGCCCCGGCGCTCGACC